TGCCTACAAGTTGAGTGAAGGTGGATACACATACATATACATACGCATACACTCACAAATTTATTCTTTTGATTTACAAAAGATCTTCCAAGTTTTCAGTGCGAAGGTTAGTGGCCACAGTTTAGTCAGTATATGGGCAGATCAGTGAACTGTATTGTTCTGCTCTCCAAACCTCTCTTTTATTTTTATTTTCTCGCTTGTTTCTTCTCTTTTTCTGTGTTGCTTGAAAAGTTTTGCTCAACTATATACAAGAATTTAATGTCTATGTACATATATTGATACTAACGCCAAATAATACATGTGTTCAGTATGATTATATCTATATGTACATACTCATTTTGTTTCTTTTTTTTTTTTTTTTTTTTTTTTTTTTTTTTTTTTTTTTTTCCAGTGGTTAAGTTTTCCCTGCCATTTTAGATAACAACCTAAAATAGCTGCATTTAATTTTGATTTATCTTCTGTTAAAGAAAAATATTTAATGTTTTCTTTTAAAATTTTATTTGTCTTTAGAAGACCAAGAGAAATTCAAGTTAATTTTTTTTCTCCATTTTTTTTTTTTTTTTTTGTTGACTCCTTATTTTTTTTTTTTGTTTGCTTAAGAGTGTGTGTGTGTATATAATATATATATATATATATATATATATATAAATATATATACACACACACACACAGTTCCTCTGCACAAATTTAAATGAAGGATTTTAAGAAAAAGCTAAATGCTTTCAGTTACAAAATATATACACACACACACACACACACACACACACACACACACACACAAAAATCAATCAGAATTTTTTTTATCAATATTTTTTTAATTTTGAAATTGGGCATCTAAGATTCTTTGCTTTTGCATTATATACAATATATAAGTGATGCCAGCTAATTTTAAATTTCATTAAAAAAATCCTGATAAGTAATTTTTCATATTACTGAAATTAATTTAAAACTTTTATTTTATTTTTAACTGTTAAAATACATTTCAAACTTGTCACAAGGTTCAATTTTTTTTTTTCAATCCAGAAAAATCTTTTTCTTTTTTTTTAATTGTTCATTTTTATATATATATATATATATATATATATATATATATATATATATATATAAAGCTTTAGAAATTTACTTCCTTTAGTTTAACAATTTGATCATATTAATGCTTTTAAGTTTAATTCTGCAAAATAGTTTATTTTTTCGCTCTCTTTTTATTTTAAATGTTTAATATATCTTGAATGAAACATCTTTCTTCTAAAATATGATCTTTTGAAATAATTTCATTGATTAATGTTTGAATTAATAATAATGTTAGATGTTAATATCTCACAATACTATTTTATACTTAAATTTTTCACTTTACATTGTTTTCTGAACAAGGATATCAATCATAAAATGGTTCCAGTAACTTTATATCAGTCTCTTTAATTCATATACACTTATTTTGATGATTTTAATCTCTCCTCTTGATATTAATATAAAACTTTTGAATTATATAATGGGATAAATGGTATGAAATTTTTTTTTTCAAAGTAGTGATTTGTTTTATTGTTCTGATCATTCATTTTGTTTTCTTTGTTTTTTACCAAGTCATAGGATTTTCTCAGGGCAAATGCTTTTGTTTGTTTTAAAAGTTTGGGAAGAATTATGCTTAATCAGTTTTCAAATTTAGAGGCCAAATTTACATTACTTTGCTAAAATTTATTCTCATTAAATTATGCCTGTCCCTGTTGTTTTTGTAAGAATCCTGTTGATAGCTAATTACTTGCATTTTATTTCTTTTAAAACTTTATTATTTAAAGATTTTATGAATAGAACTACTTTTATGGTTAATACTGAAATGCAGCAAATTTTCTTAACTTGCAATAGTGAGCCATTGATTAATAGCAAAAATAAATTGGTTAACTTTTTTATTTACTATAATTACAAATTTTATTAGTTCTCAAAAATTATGTAAATATATTAATTTTAAATACTGGCCAGTTATTCTGCTTTTTACAATATTTTCTATAGACTGGATTAATTTTTGGTACTGGTTTGGTAAGGCTTGTTAACTTTCCTACAATCTGTTTGAGTTACTGGCAAAATATAAAAAGCAATCTAATATCAGTGAATATATGTTTAATTTGATAATATCCCTAATTCTCTTGCACTCTAGATTTAATTCCAGTAAAAATGAATATCTTGAGATACTTTTCAGGGGTTATTTTTAAGAACACCACTACCAAAAAAAAAAAAAAAAAATCATAAATTACTGATGCTATGCATTTGTTACTACAAGTATTTCTTATTATTTATTATCACCAGTGAATATAGACAAAGTATTTTTATAACAACATTCTTAAGAGTGTGTATTTCTATTATTTCAAGAATTCATTCTTAGAACTTTTTCGGTTTTTTTACTCAAGTTATTGTCTTACCCAAGTTATGTTTCTATAAATAACTTTATGCATTTTATTATAGACCATGATTAATTTTTACATTATTTATCAGTTTTCACATTAGACATTCATGATAACCATATCAGATTAATTAGCTTCCTATTTATATTCTCTAATTATAAAGCAAATTACTATTGGTTATTTATATAAAATCAATTAAACTACGTGCACTGATTTCAAAATAATTTCTTAATCTAATTTTAGGAAGTAAAACATGGATACTTCTGCAAACCATGTTTTTTATCACTACTGCACAAGAAGAAAATTATCTTTTTTAAAAAAAGAAAAATGATATACTTGGAGAAAATATTAATTTACTATATTTTTAAATTATCAGTAAATGATCACCTTTAAATCAAGATAAAATTTCAATGAAAATAACATATATGAGTCAGATTTTGATGACAAGTTTGCTTGATTGTATTTCAAGACATAAATTAGAAATCCCTGTATAAAAACTTTGTTATAAAAATATCTTAAATTTGTTTTCATTTTGCCTTTTTCTTTAAGCAATGTTTAGCCATATACTCTTTTTTTGTACAAAACTGAATTTACTTCTGAAATAATTTATACATAATATGATTTAAAGATAATGCTCTTTAATTCAATAATATATGAAGTGTTTTCTCTTGAGAATTTTGATTCCGTTTGATCATTTCAATGAAGACAATTGACAATGATAACATTGGACTACTTTGTGGCATTTGTAATTTTTTTTGTAACTTTTAGATTTGATAATGGATGTATTTACAAAGTTAATATAAAACACTTAAGTTATTTAATTTAATTCTAAAAATTAGATTAATATTTTAAAGAAGTCAGGTTTTGGTTTTTTTTTTTTTTTTTTTCTTTTTTCGGATTGCTTTCAAATATTTTTTTTCTTGGAATTTTTCTTCTTTGTCTTGTATAATATTTAATACTTGATATTCATATTCTAAAGTTGGCTTTGGTATTGTCTTTTTTCATAGTTTTAAGCAAGTTTACAAGAGAAAAATATTTACATGGCTTCTTTGTATTGTGTTTCTAAAATGGCTATAATTGTTTTAGGGTTTTTCTCACTTTATTTTATGCTAACATCTCAACTATTTGTTTTTAATTACTGACATGTAGATATGACCAATTCAGCTATCTGCATGCTTTGTTCATTGTTTTCATTTTAATCATGTAATTTCAGAACATTTTAATGTTAAGTTTGTAGAATGACCAAGGACTTTGATTACAGTTGGTAACTTTGATCTTCATCTCAGCCGATATCATTCAGTCACTTGTACAATTCATATATAGCTAAAGTCTATATAAATGAGCATAAAAAAGTATGTGAATGCATAAAGGCATGTAAAATTTCTATTCAAATATGATTATTGCTTATGGATTGTGATAATTCATTGTCAGGGGAAAAAAAAGGCTTAAATTCAAGTAACTGAACAAAATATCAACTAAATATTGCACCAATAATATAAAATGTTCATGTATTGGTTCAAAGAAAAAAAAAAAAAAAAAAAAAGAAGAAAAGTTACATTAGTTTTAGTATTGGAGAAAAGAACATTGTCCCTTCTGCACTGTTGGATTGAACTCTTGGATTGCTCTCTTTTGTCTGCTCTATTGCTACCTCCTATCTATCACTGTTACATATCCCAGGAACTTTGTTCCTTCAGTTATCAGTCTATATAGGCTGGCAGACACACAGACAACAACAACAACAACCAAATATCACCTTCAAAGGAAATGATAATACACACCACTGCAAAATGGAGGGAGATACAAGGCTGAAAGCCAAAATGCAATGGAAAAGACCAAAGCAAATCAGATTCCAGTATTTTGTGGATTTTGTAAGACTGATCTTGCAGCTAGACTTTTTCATATATATATATTATGTTTTTCCCCAACATGGCCACTTGCCAGAACAATTTTATTGTTGATTTCTGTTTTAATCTTCTTTTTGTGATTTCCTCGATAAAAAAAAAAAAAAAATCATCAGATCTAAAATGATGGTAACAAAATTTACTAAAAAATGTCAACAATATTTGGATGTTTTATTTATTTATCATCCCTTTTTCATTTTTTCTTTTCTCTTTTTTTTTTTTTGCATTTGTTTCTGCTTTACTATTAAATAGCTTTCAAAACATTTTCTTCTTTCTTATACGAATTAAATAATTTCTTGTTTGTTCTGATTGACTTGAAAATCAAGCAAAGCTGCTCTACAAATTTGCCTTGTATATTATCCTATGTTATGCAATCTATTTTTGTTACAACCCTAAAAAAATGCCTGTTTAGTTGTTCATGTGGGTTGTTGTAACCTTTCCTAGCTGCTGTCTTAAATCTGTATAACCAAACAATAAATTTTGGTGATAAAATTTAATCACTTGTTATAACCTGTTGGCCGAAAAATTGGAGTGTAAAAGGTTGTTTATAGATGTTGCTGTTGAACAGAATCAAGACACACTACTATTTTAATTTTATGAATGTATATATTTTTCTGGGTGTTTATTACACGATTATATTTTTATATATATATATTATTCAAAATTATGCCTGAAATGCCACAAATTTAAAAATTTTAATGATATG